AACTAGAGGTGTTTTGTGAAGAAGAATTGGTCTAAAATACCTTCAGCCACAATCCAGACTCTCATTAGAAGCTGTAGGAAGTGTTTAGAGGCTGCTATTTCTGTGGAAGGAGGAGTTACTAAACATTGAGGTAAGGTTTTTTTTTTATGGTGCCCAAATTTATGCACCTACCTAATTTTGTTTAAACAATTATTGCACACTTTCTGCAAATCATATCAACTTCATTTCACTTATCAAATATCACTGTGTTTGTCCCCTATATGATATACTGATCGTTTTATCCAAACAATCAATGATTTATAAAGGTAAATCAGGAAAATTAACAAGGCTGCCCAAACTTTCACACCCCATTGTAGCTGGGACTAAAATGCTACATGTATCAGTAATCTGTTACTGGAGGTTTACTGATGAAATGTCCTGAGATGATTTACAGATATTTTATTTGCACCGTTGTCCCATCATGTCAAATGGTAAATGGCCTGAACTTGTACGGACTCCAAAACAGTTCAGAGAAGCTGTGTTCATACTCACTGCAAACTTCAGGGAATCGGATGCCTCAGGTCCATCAAACTTGAACTGTTTGAAGTCTGGGAGGTCCCCCATGGTCTCGCTGCTTCTTGGAGCAAACCTCCTGTACTGTTGGTCCTGGGTGTCCGGGTCTGTGTAAAGAGCGTAGTCACTCATGCTGTTGCACACTCCTTCCAGGAGCTCACTGAGGTGCGTCTCTGAGCGAGCAAACGGGACCTGGACACACAAACCCAACAGAACATCAGAGACAGTCCTCTCACCAAGACTGGATCAAAGTCCAGAACACTCAGTTCAGTTCTGGATCAGGGGCCTCATGTATCAACGGTGCGTACGCACAAAAACCTTGCGTATGCCATTTTCCATGCAAAACTCCGGATGTATCAAAACTCAACTGAACGTGGAAATGTGTGCAACCCCACGCCAACTCCAGGGCTGACGTACGCACGTTTCTGTGGTTCTGGTTCCATTGGCGACACTTGGAGGTGATTCTGAGAAACTTTTCATAATGTGAAAATTATTATTGTTCACAGCAGACACACATGATTAACAATTACATCCACATGATTAACAATTATTACATCCACATGGACGCAGTTAAATAAAGGATGCGCAAAGTTGTGCCAAAAATACATTTAACAGGAACAGATTCAGCCTTACTGGAGGATATAATAAATAGTGAAACACACAGAACATTTATTTATAAACAGACATAACTTTCTGAAGATGAGTGGCTCATCAGCCATTTTGAGGAAAAATCATTGTTTAGTTTGGCACTGCTGCACTCCGAGCGTGACGCAGCGAGCCGCATGCGCCACGCATGCACGTGCAGCAGCAGCGATTGAACTGGGGTTCCACAGGAGCTTTCCAGAGGGAGCTGGCAGACCCATCGGAACCGTGTCAGTCCAGTCCACCCAAAGCAGAATCATGACCAATGGAATCATCTCCATATGATTCTAAAGGCTGAGTTATGGTCGCGCTCTGGAGCGTGCACCCTCGCCGGCAGTGGAGGTGTTCCATACTTGGCGTTTACGTTGTTGTAGATTTCTCCAAAATGACACATGGAAGTACACTTTACAACTTGTGTGAAAATGCTGTAAGTAGGAAAGCAAAAGCTTGACAGATAAACAGACTGCACACAAAGGCTGCGGCGCGCACATGTGGGGACTCTCCAACATCACGTCACGTCATGTGAACTCTACTGAGACACAGAGACTCGTTTCTTCATATCAGCTATGAAATAAACTTAGATCTATGTTCTACCAAACATCTGAGTTCCTCTGTGTTTACAGTGTAGAGGTAACCCTGGTGAAAAAAAACTTTTCTATTGTTTTTTTTCTTTGTCTTTGATTTTATTTTTTACACTTATAAGAAGAAAATCATTTTAAAGTGTTTTTATTTTCTTTAAGGGAATAGGACAAAGTCCTATATATATATTATCTCATTTAAT